CTGGGTGTTAACTCCCTGGCCTCTGTAATCAAGACAGATTCTCATGCAGGCCCAGACTCTGCTGGTCTGCTTCTCAAAAGCTCTCTTACTACCCCAGCAGTGGCTGCATTTCCTTTGGAAAGTGCCAACCCTGCTGGGGTGGCTCCCACAATTGCCAAAGGTACCTCAACTTATACAACTACAGCCAGCCCTTTTCTAGAAGGAACTGTCTCTTTGGCTCCCAAAAACCACCCAGCTAAGGAAGGTACTTCCACTCTTACTACTTTACCTTTGGTTCCTGCAGCCTCAGAAAACTGCCCTGTATCTCTATCCCCCCAGAATACCTCTGCGTCTCTCACTACCTTAGTGCTGGCCCCTGAAATTCCCAAGTCTGTGCCCTCACCCTCTCTTCCCCCAGCTGGGACTCCTCCAGGTACAAAAAAGGTTGATGGTATTTCTCATACGTCAGCACTGGCACCTGTTACTTCCTCTCCCAAAGGGTGCCCAACTGAGGACTCTGGTGCTTCTGCTACTGCATCTTCCAAAGGAACTCTGACTTACCGAGCTGACTCCCCATCTCCTTTAGGGGTTAGTGTGTCTCCTCAGACTAAAAGACCTCCAACCAAGAAGGGTTCTGCTGGCCCTGATACTCTTGTTGGAAAACTCTCATCCCCGGTTTCTCCAATTGAAGCTCTACTTCTTCCAGAGAACAGTCTTTCTTTTCAAGGCTCTAAAGACTCACCAAACACAAAGCATTGTCCCACTCCTCCATCCCCCAAAGGGGCCCCTACTCCCTCAGCTGTGACTCCTCTGTCTCCCAAAAGAGTAACACAATCCCCCAAAGAGACCCCCACTCCTTCACCTGTGAATCCACCCTCCCCCAGAGAGGGCCCAGCTACCCCAGCCTCCAAACAGGCCCCTGCTCTATCTATGACTTCTTCCTCCCCCAAAAAGGCCCCAGCAACTCCAACCCCCAAAGAAGGCCCCACTACCCCATCCCCCAAAGAGACCCCCATACCCCCAGCTACTCCATCCCCCAGAGAGGCCCCCACTCCCCCAGCTACAACTCCTCCCTCCCCCAAAGGAGGCCCAGCTACACCATCCCCCAAAGGGGCCTCCACCCCTGCAGCCACAACTTCAGCCTCTCCAAAAGGAGGTCCTGCTACCCCACCCCGCAAAGGGGTCCCCACTCCCCCAGCTGCAACTCCTTCCTCCCCCAAAGGAGGCACAGCTAGCCCATCCCCCAAAGGGGCCCCCACCCCTCCAGCTGCGACTTCAGCCTCTCCTAAAGGAGGTCCTGCTATCCCACCCCCCAAAGGGGCCCTAGCTACAACTCCTCCCTCCCCAAAAGGAAGTCCAGATACCCCACCTCCCAAAGGGGCCCCCACTCCCCCAGCTGCAACTCCTTCCCTAAAAGGAGGCCCATCTATGCCACCCCCCAAAGGGGTCCCCACTCCCCTAGCTGCAACTCCGACCTCTCCAAAAGGAGGTCCAGCTACCCTACCTCCCAAAGGGGCTCCCACTCCCCCAGCTGTAACTCCTCCCTCCCCAAAAGGAGATCCAGATACCCCACCTCCCAAAGGGGCTCCCACTCCCCCAGCTGCAATTTCAACCTCCCCAAAAGGAGGCCCAGCTTCCCCGTCCCCCAAAGGAGACCCAGCTAACCCAACCCCCAAAGGAGGCCCCACTCCCCCAGCTACAACTCCTCCCTCCCCAAAAGGAGGCTCAGATGGCCCACCCCCTAAAGGAGTCCCCACTCCCCTAGCTGTAACTCCTCCCTCCCCAAAAGGAGGTCCAGGTACCCCACCCCCTAAAGGGGCCCACACACCCCCAGGTACAATCTCTCCCTCCCCAAAAGGAGGTCCAGGTACCCCACCCCCCAAAGGAGCCCACACACCCCCAGGTGCAATCCCTCCCTCCGCAAAAGGAGGTCCAGGTACCCCACCTGCCAAAGGGGCCTCTACTCTCCCAACTGCAACTCCTCCCTCCCCAAAACGAAGCCCAGCTACCCCATCCCCCAAAGGAGGCCCAGCTACTCCATCCCTCAAAGGGGCCCCCACTCTCCCAGCTACAACTCCCTCCCCTAAAGGAGGCCCAACTACCCCATCCTCCAAAGAGGGCCCCACTCCCCCGGCTGCAACTCCATCCCCCAAAAGAGGCCCAGCTACCCCATCCCCCAAAGGGGACTCCACTTCCCCAGCAATGACTCCTCTCTCTCCCAAAAAGGCTCCAGCAACTCCAGTTGCCACAGAAGGCCCAGCTACCCCATCCAAAGGAGATTCTACTCCCCCAGCAGTGACTCCTGTCTCACACAAAAAGGCCCCAGCAACTTCAGCCCCCAAAGGAGGCTCAGCTACCCCATCCCCCAAAGAAAGCCCAGCTACTCCACACCCCAAAGGGGTACCAACTCTCCCAGCTACAACTCCCTCCCCTAAAGGAGGCCCAACTACCCCATCCTACAAAGAGGACCCCACTTCCCCAGCAGTGACTCCTCTCTCCCCCAAAAAGCCTCCAGCAACTCCAGTCCCCAGAGGAGGCCCAGCTACCCCATCCAAAGGAGATTCCACTCCTCCAGCAGTGACTCCTGTTTCCCCCAAAAAAGCCCCAGCAACTTCAGCCCCCAAAGGAGGCCCAACTACCCCATCCTTCAAAGGGGATCCCACTTTCCCAGCAGTGACTCCTCCTTCCACCAAGGAGCCTCCAGCCCCCAAACAACCCCCAACTTCCTCTCCCAAAAAGGCTCCAGCAACTGCAGCCCCCAAAGGGGCCCCCACTCTGCCAACTATGATTCCTTCTTCCCCCAAAGAGGTCCCCACTACCCCATCCTCCAGAAGGGACCCCACTCCCCCAACAGTGACTCCTCTCTCTAAAAAGACCCCAGCAACTCCAGCTCCCAAAGAGGCCCTCATTCCTCCAGCTATGACTCTTCCCTCCTCCAAAAAGACCCCATCAATTTCAGCCCCCAAAGAAGCCCCAGCTACCGCATCCTCCAAAGAGACCTCCAATCCCCCAGCAGTGACTCCTCCCTCTTACAAAGAGGCCCCTACTACTCCAGCTGTGACTCCTCCAGCCCCTAAAAAGGACCCAGCAACTCCAGCCCCCAAAGAGACTCCCACTTCGCCATCTGTGACTCCTTCCCCCCTCAAAGACTCTCCTACCTCCCCAGTTTCTGTCACATGTAAAATGGGAGCCACTGTTCCTCAAGCTTCTAAAGGGCTTCCAGCAAAGAAAGGCCCCACGGCTCTGAAAGAAGTACTTGTTGCCCCAACTTCAGAAAGTACGCCAATAATCACAGCTCCCACTGGGAAAGGCCCACAGACTAAGAAGAGTTCTGCTACTTCATCTCCTATGTGCCCAGATCCCTCAGCTAAGAATGGTACTAAAGGACCTCCTTCCACAGTGGCTCCAGCCCCTCTACTCCCTGCACAGAAAGGCTCTTCAAAGACAGCAAAAGGCAAAGATGCTTCTCATTTCCCAAAGGGCCCCTTGGCTCCTCCTGAGTCTCAGGCATCCATCCCTCTAACAGCAGCTGCCTCTGAGAAAGTCCTTCCTAAACCTGAGTCAGCATCTGTCTCTCTAGCACCCACCCCACCAGTCTCTCTGCCTCTTGCTCCCTCCCCGGTTCCCCCTCTGCCTCCTACACAGCAATTTCTGCCGTCCTCTCCTGGGCTGGTGTTGGAATCACCCTCTAAACCCCTAGCCCCTGCTGATGAGGATGAGCTGCCGCCTCTGATTCCCCCGGAACCAATCTCTGGGGGAGTGCCTTTCCAGTCGGTCCTCGTCAACATGCCCACCCCTAAACCTGCTGGAATCCCTGTCCCAACCCCCTCTGCCAAGCAGCCTGTTCTGAAGAACAACAAGGGTATTTGCCTTGGTTTGCTGTGTGCATGGTGTGTCTGTCGCCCACACCCCTCTTGGGGGCTAGCCACCGATACTAACCCTGTGATGCGCCGCTTTCTTCAGTGAATCTGCTTGAGTTTTGATATAGAACATAGAATGATAATGTTAAATGCAAAAGTTCTAGGAATACGAAACCAAATCTTGGTTTTCATCACTTCAGATAGATACATAGTACCTTGGATTTCATCTTGTGTGGCCCAGGCTACCTTGAAGCCTGCCATGCCATCTATTTTACCTAGTGGATCTGACATTGAAAACCAAGACCTGCCAGACCTTTAATTTGCTCTAATCCCTACCACATCACTAACCTTGTCCCTGGGACTGAGATTTGCTAAAATATTAGAGAATTAAACTATTTGTATTTCTTTTTCCCTTCTTAGACTTAGTAATGACCAGTTACCCAGGGACTCCCTTTTCATAAAAATTTAGAAACCTGTTTTTCCTAGCCTGAAAATAGTGCAGGCATATGCTTTTTTTCCTCAGTAGTCTTTACTGATGCTTGGCCTTTCAATTGAGAGAAACTTACGTGAATTATGTTTGGAAAAATGAGTTACAGATTATCATATAATCTTCTAACTATATTGATTAGATCACATTGCTGGGGTGAACGGTTTGAAAATGAGGCTGAATATGTGTACATGACTGCTTTTGACGTCCTCCAACCCAGTTGAAAGTTGAGAGGAAGAGCACCCTACCTGTTACGCCTCCACCGTGTGATTTCATTGTTTTTGTTTTTTTCACTTAAGTGTATCTGGGGACACCTTCTGGCAGAACTTTTCAGGGACAATTGGACTATTGGGTAAAATTTAGAGTCATGTGGGTCATTATTTGCCTGTGCCAAGAAACAAAGACCTTGAGGGAAAGAAAGCAGTATATTAAACTGCTCAGCTCTTTATAGTGATTACTCCTCATTTCTGGGTTTAGGGCTGGGTCTTTACTAGATATATACACTAGTTAGTGACTAAGGGGCTATCAGATTGGCTTCACACAAGCCAGTTGGTTTACATTTAACATTCTGAGGTCTAGCATGAGGCATTGACTTTTAGTCCAGGCAGGCTGTGGTGAAGTATCTTCTCTTATAATTTCTACTATAAAGTAGTAAAAGTTGCTTCTCATCTTAGGATCTGGAACAGAATCTGACAGTGATGAATCAGTACCAGAGCTTGAAGAACAGGACTCCACCCAGGCAACCACACAACAAGCCCAGGTGGGTATTCTCTAATAACTGGTATAAGTAATTGGGTCAAGGATCAAGGAAGCAGGGTTGATCAGAGTGACTTTTGTATTTGGAACTGTGACCCTTCATAAAGGAAAAACCACATGGAGATTGTACTATCCAGATCTTAGAGTCTGGTTAACCAACAGCTGTTTTATTCTCTTAGCTGGCGGCAGCAGCTGAGATAGATGAAGAACCCGTCAGTAAAGCAAAACAGAGTCGAAGTGAAAAGAAGGCACGGAAGGTAAGATTTATTTGAAAAGGATTTCAGGGCCAGGTGTGGTGGCTCACGTCTGTAATCCCAGCACTTCGGGAGGCTGAGGCGGGTAGAGAGCCTCAAGTCAGGAGTTCGAGACTAGCCTGACCAACATAGTGAAACCCTGTCTCTACTAAAAATAACAGGATTGTTATTTTTGCACCACTGCACTGCTGTCTGGGTGACAGAGCAAGACCTGTCTCAAAAAAAAAGGTAACAGAAGTTACTGTGGCAGAAATGCCATTCTCTATTGTATGAACTTCTCTTAGCCTGGGGAAAGGCTTTGCTTTGGATGTTGTATTATGTTTCTTGCTTCTTTAGGCTGCTTCTAAAAAAGTTGAAAACCTGATATTATTTTCTCTTTAGGCTATGTCCAAACTGGGTCTTCGACAGGTTACAGGAGTTACTAGAGTCACTATCCGGAAATCTAAGAATATCCTCTTTGTCATCACAAAACCAGATGTCTACAAGAGCCCTGCTTCGGATACCTACATAGTGTTTGGGGAAGCCAAGGTAAGTAATGTTTTCTTGGGAATTGCTCTAGACCAGGGTTTCTCAACCTCAGCACTGCTTACATTTTGCATCCAATAGTTCTCTGTTATGGAAGGGCTATTCTGTGCATTATGGATGTTTAGCAGCAACGCAACCAGTTTTGATTACCCAGAATACTCCATTGCCACATACCCCCTGGGAGACATAATTACCCTCAGTTGAGAACCACAGCTCTAAACCTAAACAACTACTTTTTATACTGCAATACATACTGTGAGTGAGGGCAAGCAGTTTAAAGCTACAGTAAGTTACCTGAAGTGAGTTTACAGAGAGAATTGTGAAACTATATGATTTCCTTTTCAATGACTGAAGACTGATCTACTCACATGGATCTGTGTTCTCTACCCTGTAGATCGAAGATTTATCTCAGCAAGCACAACTAGCAGCTGCTGAGAAATTCAAAGTTCAAGGTGAAGCTGTGTCAAACATTCAAGAAAACACACAGACTCCAACTGTACAAGAGGAGAGTGAAGAGGAAGAGGTATACTAGGAATAGGAAATCTTTTATACTTTTAACTCGCGCCATATGTGTTTGACGCAACATGTTTGTGTTGGTGAGTGGATTTTATATTGTTTAGGCTCTTGAACCCTGTTAAGTAGCTTTGAGCTATTAATATAGCTCCCAACGCTTTGGGAGGCCAAGGCAGGTGTATCAACTAGATTGAGGAGACTCCAAAGAACTGCTGAAATTGTTCTTGCCTTTAATTTACTGCTTTTTCCCTCTCCTCTCTCAGGTCGATGAAACAGGTGTAGAAGTTAAAGACATAGAATTGGTCATGTCACAAGCAAATGTGTCGAGAGCAAAGGCAGTCCGAGCCCTGAAGAACAACAGTAATGATATTGTAAATGCTATTATGGTAAGTGTTCAAGCCTTTGTTCTTGATTCCCTCTGCCCTGACCAATTATGAGTAACTTTATTTTCTCTGCTAAATATCAGCCAGTTAGGGAACCTATTCCAGAGCCTCTTCTGAGTTACCATAGGTTTTAGTGACCTGAATTCTCCTGATTTGCCTATAAGAACCACTAATTATCTTTTCTCTCTTATAGGAATTAACAATGTAACCATCTGAAAGCAACTTTTTTTGGTGTCTCAAAGGAGTAACTGCAGCTTGGTTTGAAATTTGTACTGTTTCTATCATAAATAAAGTTATGGCTTCTTGTTGGATGAACTCAGTCAGTGACTGGACTCTTCCCTCCACTCCCACCCCCTCCCCCCCAAAAAAATACTGTAAAGGTTCTAGTAATTTATTAATTACTTCTAAGGCCTCCCTCATTTGTTGTTTGTGGGGGGTTTTGTTGTTGTTTTCAGACAGTCTTGCTCTCGCCAGGCTGGAGCACAGTCATATGATCTCAGCTCACTACAACCTCCGCCTCCCAGGTTCAAGCAATTCTCCTGCCTCAGCCTCCCAAGTAGCTGGGACTACAGGTGCCCGCCACCACATCTGGCTAAATTTTTGTATTTTAATAGAGATGGGGTTTCACCATGTTGACCAGGACAGTCTCAAACTCCTGACCTCGTGATCCACTCACTTCAGCCTCCCAAAGTGCTGGGATTACAGGCATGAGCCACCACACCCAAAGGCCTAACTCATTTGATAAGGTTTAGTGCCACAGATTTCCCACTTAAAATCTCAGACTTTCTACCTCTTTTAAGATGTTACTGTTCTAGGCTGTTAGGACCTTGTTATCTTCAGAAAATATAACCTGACTATAAAGTTTCTCATTTCTGGCCAGGCACAATGGCTCACACCTGTAATCCCAGCGCTTTGGGAGGTCAAGGCAGGTGGATCACTTTAGCACAACTAGGAGTTTGACATCAGCCTGGGAAACCTGGTGAAACCCCGTCTCTACAAAAAAATAGGATCACTTGAACCCAGAGGCAGAGGTTGCAGTAAGCTGGGATCACACCAATGCACTACAGCCTGGGCGACAGAGTGAGACCCTGTCTCAAAAAAACTTGGTTTCTCGACCAGGGTTGGTAGCTCATGTCTGTAATCCCAACACTTAGGGAGGTGAAGGCAGGTGGATCACCTGAGGTCAGGCGTTTGAGACCAGCCTGGCCAACATGGTGAAACCCTGTCTCTACTAAAAATACAAAAATTAGCCAGGCATGGTGGTAGGTCGCTTGGGAGGCTGAGACAGGAGAATTGCTTGAACCCAGGAGGCAGAAGTTTCAGTGAGCCGAATTCATACCATTGTACTCCCAGGCAGGAGTCTGGGCAACAAAGAGCAAAACTCTCTCAAAAAAAAAAAAACTATCAATTCCACTTTCTTTTCCAGATGTTAACTGTTAGCAGATCCTGATTCTTCTGTATCTAGTAATCAGTCCCTTCATGGAACTCCAATCTTTTTTGTTTTTTTGAGACAAAGTTTCACACTTATTGCCCAGACTGGAGTGCAATGGCACATGATCTCGGCTCACTGCAACCTCTTTCTCCCAGCTTCAAATGATTCTTCTGCCTCAGCCTCCTGAGTAGCTGAAATTACAGGCCTATGCCACCATGGCCGGCTTATTTATGTTTTGGGGGGTTTTTTTGTTTTGTTTTGTTTTGTTTTTTAATATTTTTAGTAGAGCTAGGGTTTCACCATGTTGGCCAGGCTGCCTGACCTCAGGTGATCCACCCATCTCGGCATCCCAAAGTGCTGGGATTACAGGCTTGTCACCTCACCCAGCCTGAACTCCAGTCTTTCTGAATACACATTGGGGCTTCTGTGGCATGTGAGTAGTTTACACTGGATACAATTTGACATGTAAGAGTTTGGTATAGGGTTTAAGAGGTTGGAGGTAGATGAAAAGGCTACCTCCTGAAGGGGGAGATTTTGAATATAAACTTTCTGCTCTTAAGCATATTTTCTACAGAAATTTTAATCTATAAAGTAGCTTCTAGTTGGGATAGCCATAATTACATTAGGACAATAAATGAAAATCAGGATTGTCCCAGGCAGACTAGAACATAACAGTTAGCTTACAGGTAGCTATGTGGTAATTCCAACTACCTGGGGAGGCTGATGCAGGAGAACTGCTTCAATCGAGGAGGTGGAGGCTGCAGTGAGCCTAGATCCGGACATTGTACTCCAGCCTGAGCAACAACAGCAAAACTCCTCTGTCTCAAAAAAAAAAAAAAAGCCATGCGTGATGGCTCACACCTGTAATCCCAACACTGGGAGGCCAAGGCAAGGATCACAGGTCAGTAGTTTGAGACCAGCCTGGCCAACATGATGAAACCCTGTCTTTACTTTTTTTTTTTTTTTTTGAGACGGAGTTTCACTCTTTTTTTTTTTTTTTTTTTGAGACGGAGTTTCGCTCTTGTTACCCAGGCTGGAGTGCAATGGCGCGATCTCGGCTCACCGCAACCTCCGCCTCCTGGGTTCAAGCAATTCTCCTGCCTCAGCCTCCTGAGTAGCTGGGATTACAGGCACGCGCCACCATCCCCAGCTAATTTTTATTTTTAGTAGAGACGGGGATTCACCATGTTGACCAGGATGGTCTCGATCTCTTGACCTCGTGATCCACCTGCCTCGGCCTCCCAAAGTGCTGGGATTACAGGCTTGAGCCACCGCACCCAGCCCCTGTCTTTACTAAAGATAAAAATTAGCTGGGCTTGGTGGCAAGTGCCTATAATCCCAGCTACTCAGGAGGCTGAGGCAGGAGAATCACTGGAACCCAGGAGGCAGGGGTGGCAGTGAGCTGAGATCGCAGCACTGCACTCCAGCCTGGGCAACAGAGCGAGACTCCATCTCAAAAAAAAAAAAAAAAAAGGGCAGGGGAGGCTAGGAATCACTAGGGGAAATGCAAATCAGAACCACAATGAGGCCACGCACACAGTTGTTCATGCTTGTAATCCTAGCATTTTGGGAGGCCCTGGCGGGCAGATTGCTTGAGTACAAGAATTGCAGACCAGCCTGAGCAACACAGCAAAACCCTGTCTCTACAGAAAAACAAAAAATTAGCCAAGTGTGGTGGCAGGTACCTGTAGTCCCAGCTGATGGGGAAGCTAATCACCTCAGCCTAGGAGGTCGAGCCTGTGGTGAGCTGTGCTCCTGCCACTACACTCCAGCTTGAGTGAAGAGAGACCCTGGCTTAATTTTTTTTTTTTTTTTTTTTTTTTTGAGATGAGTGTTTCCCTCTTGTTACCCAGGCTGGAGTGCAATGGCGCGATCTTGGCTCATCGCAACCTCCACCTCCTGGGTTCAGGCATTTCTCCTGCCTCAGCCTCCCGAGTAGCTGGGATTACAGGCATGCACCACCATGCCCAGCTAATTTTTTGTATTTTTCTTTTCTTTTTTTTTCTTTTTTTTTTTTTTTTTTTTGAGGCGGAGTTTCGCTCTTGTTACCCAGGCTGGAGTGCAATGGCGCGATCTCGGCTCACCACAACCTCCGCTTCCTGGGTTCAGGCAATTCTCCTGCCTCAGCCTCCTGAGTAGCTGGGATTACAGGCATGCGCCACCATGCCCAGCTAATTTTTTGTATTTTTAGTAGAGATGAGGTTTCACCATGTTGACCAGGATGGTCTCGATCTCTTGACCTCGTGATCCACCCGCCTTGGCCTCCCAAAGTGCTGGGATTACAGGCTTGAGCCACCACGCCCGGCCTTGTATTTTTCTTAATAGAGACGTTTCACCACATTGACCAGGATGGTCTCGATCTCTTGACCTTGTGATCCAGCCGCCTTGGCCTTCCAAAGTGCTGGGATTACAGGTTTGAGCCACCGCGCCCGGCCTGTCTTAATATTTTTTTTGGCCAGACACAGTGGCTCATGCCTGTAATCCCAACACTTTGGGAGACCCAAGTGGGCAGATCACCTGAGGTCAGGAGTTCCAGACCAGCCTGACCAACGTGGAAAACCCTTGTCTTTACTAAAAATACAAAATTCGCCAGGCATGGTGGCATGTGCTTGTAATCCCAGCCACTCAGGAGGCTGAGGCAGGAGAATCGCTTGAACCCAGGAGACGGAGGTTGCAGTGACCCGAGATTGCACCATTGCACTACAGCCTGGGCAAGAAGAGTGAAACTGTCTCAGAAAAAAACATTTTTAATTTCTAATTTTTGAGATGGAGTCTTGCTCTTTCGCCCAGGCTGTAGTGCAGTGGTGCAATCTCAGCTCACTGCAACCTCCACCTTCTGAGTTCAAGCAATTCTCCTGCCTCAGCCTCCTGAGCGGCTGGGATTACAGGTGCACGCCACCACATCCAGCTAATTTTTCTATTTTTAGTAGAGACAGGGTTTCACCAAATTGGCCAGACTGGTCTTGAACTCCTGACCTCGTGATCCACACACCTTGGGCTCCCAAAGTGCTGGGATTATAGGAGTGAGCTACCATGCCCAGCCAGAAAAAAAAAAAAAAAAAATCAAAAAAGAAATAAGGCAGGGCGTGGTGGCTCATGCCTATAGTCTCAGCACTTTGGGAGCCGAGGTGGGCGGATCACCTGAGGTCAGGGGTTCAAGACCAGCCTGGCCAACATGGTGAAACCCTGTCTTTAAAAAAAATAATAAATAATAAATAATAGAAATGCCGGGCACGGTGGCTCAAGCCTGTAATCCCAGCACTTTGGGAGGCCGAGGCAGGTGGATCACAAGGTCAAGAGATCGAGACCATCCTGGTCAACATGGTGAAACCCCGTCTCTACTAAAAAATACCAAAAAAATTAGCTGGGCATGGTGGTGCGTGCCTATAATCCCAACTACTCAGGAGGCTGAGGCAGGAAAATTGCCTGAACCCAGGAGGCAGAGGTTGCGGTGAGCTGAGATAGTGCCATTGCACTCCAGCCTGGGTAACAAGAGCAAAACTCCGTCTCAAAAAAAATATAATAAAATAAAAATAAAAAAAATAAAAAGAAATAAGATATCACCTCAACCCATTAGGCTGACTACTTATCAAAAAAGTGTATTAGCAAGGATATGAAGATACTGGAACACCTGTGCACTGCTGCTGGGAATACTGAATGGTGCAGCCACTATGGGATAGTACTGTAGATCCTCAAAAAAATTGAAAGTAGAATTACCATATGATCCGGCAATTCCACTTGGGGTTTTAAACCCAAAATAATTAAAATCAGGAACTCAGTGTTGCACCCATACTCGTAGCAGCATTATTCACAATAGACAAAGGCAGAAGAAACCCAAGTGTCCATCAATAGATGAACATTTAAACAAGATGTGATATATAGCTACC